TCGCAGGCTTCGGAGTCACCTTCTATTTTGTATTCACACTGTTGTACTTATTTCAATACAGTTGTGTTTAGAAGTTGTAGCGAAACTCTGTAGAGCTTATGACTTGTACCACCGGTTTTGGGAAGATGTAAATTCCATAAAGATTTCTATATTGAGACTGTTAGACTTTCTTTATTATGGTTGATATTCAGTAAATGTTAGGCTTACCTAGTCCCTAAGACTAGGTGCCATCACGAAACCCAACGGAAGGAAATTGGATCGTGACATAATATTATCCATTTTGGGTCAAATTTGCATGATTTTTCTCAAAAGGTCTTATACTTTCAGCTATCAATACGTAACTTTGTTCGCATGCCAGCAAAAATTAACTGTATTTCCATTTATCAAATTGTCACGTCATAATACGTTTTTAGTTTTTTCTACAACATATTAAGGAGGGAGGTAGAAATATACATACAAGACCACATTAAGTCAAGCATCGTTACTTAAGACAGATTGAACTGGTTAAGTGACCATCCCTATGCTATGTCATAGTCATAATTTGAATACCTTTCATTACCCTTCACAAACATTCGGCAACTCAACCTTGAACAAGATTGGGACTAAGATTTTAAATCATGCTCGACATATATATATATATATATATATATATATATATATATATATATATATATATATATATATATATATATAATTGAATTTTTAGATAAAGTCTAAAATTCGAATTTAAATTAAAAATACAATTTTTTTTTTATCATGTTATCATACTTAATTTGGTTAACAATGATATGAAATCATGTTAGGAACTTTTGTTATTTTTTATAATTATTTAAATACTACTTCGCCTATAGCAAAAAAAAAAAAAAAAAAAAAAACTCCATATAACTATAAAACTCTTTCACATTTAAAATCTTATACGTATAGTTCTTTGAAACACTGTAGCTAGATTTGAATAAAACGAAATCTTTTAAAACAAATGTAATATATAGGGTACACGTCTATGTTTATCTAAACAACAAAAAAGAGTTTACAAAACCAAATAAAAGCTTGCTTACATATATAATAAAGTAAGCATACATGCTGGAGAAAGAAACATCACAAAATCAGTCAATATTAAAAAAAAGTTGTTTCTTTTTTCTTCTTGAAGAATATTTTTTGAAGAGTCAATTTGCATAACTGGTGTCACGATCCGGATTTTCCCACCATCGGAGTCGTGATGGCGCCTACTCGTGGTAGCTAGGCAAGCCAACTTATTTACCTTCCCATCACTAAGCAATTATTTTTAACAGTTTATAGCATCAATGTAGAACATGAAATTTAATAATAATAATAATAATAGCGGAAGTCTAATTCATAAGTCTGAATCAAAACGCGGAATAGTCAACAATAGCCTCTACCCAAGATTTGGTGTCACATTACTCACGAACCACTAAGAATAAACTAAATACAAAGGTCTGAGAGAAATATAACAACTGTCTGTCTCGAAAACAATGAGGCAACAGTCAAAAGGAAAATATAAAGAAGAGACGCCGGGCCTGCGGACGCCTGCAAGGCTACATCAGTCTCGTGAATAGGAAAGTCTGCTCCCGAACTACTGCTGCTGCTGCGCCTCAAAACCTGGACCTGTACAAAAATGCACAGAAGTGTAGCATCAGCACAACTGACCCCATGTGCTGGTAAGTGTCTAGCCTAACCCCGACGAAGTAGTGACGAGGCTAGCTGGACATCACATAAACCTGTGCAGTTATAATANATAAAACAAATGTAATATATACGGTACACGTCTATGTTTATCTAAATAACAAAAAGGAGTTTACAAAACCAAATAAAAGCTTACTTACATATATAATAAAGTAAGCATACATGCTGGAGAAAGAAACATCACAAAATCAGTCAATATTAAAAAAAAAGTTGTTTCTTTTTTCTTCTTGAAGAATATTTTTTGAAGAGTCAATTTGCATAAATGGACATCAAACAAATAACATAACTTTCGCTATACAATTGTTATCATTAATTTCAATTTAGCACATTCAAGGAATTGAAGGGTATAAGCTGAAACCCCTTCATTTAGCTGTAGTCAAGCCAATATTGCAAGGGTATAATATTTTTTTGTTGAAGAATATTAGTTTTGAACCATTAGATTATGTGAAAGGTTTTTTTTTCAAGCTCAACAAGAGATAAATTGATTTCTAATTGATAGTTTCTATAGCGACTTTTAAGTGTAAGAAAGAGTATATATAAAGAAAAAATTGGTATGACGTGAAATTTTTTTTTTTAAATGTAAACAAGTTATTTCGAAAAAACTCTTTACTTTTTTAATTCAAAGATAATAAAAAGATAAGATATTTTTGAACATTAGTAGAGAGTTTTAAAATTATTATAATAGAAGATGACAACAAATTTCCCCAATTTTTGAACATTAGTAGAGAAATAAAAGATGACAACAAATTTCTTCTTATGTTTCATCTTTGGTGAGTATAAAAAATTTGAAAGTTAATCTCATCCATTTTAAATACATTTTTTTCAACTCAAATACATAGATTATAAGATAAGAATATATTCGAATTTTTTTTTTAATTTAAATTATGTGTCGTTTTTAAAAAATCACTATTACTAACAAACTGATATGATATTCGAATTTTAATTGGAATACAATTTGAGTATTTTGCATTGAGGTTAAGCCAAGTATGGTGTCGAAAAATAAACTACTTGACAATTTTAAGACAATATATGTAATGTTTTACAATAATAATCAACTAATTTAACATTTAATGATTCAAAGAACAAACTTTTTTTATATATAGGCTATTAAAAATTCAAATTGAAGGGCTAGAGATATCGATAAACTTAATGTGGAGCCATACTGAAATAAGTCCGGCCAAAGAATCATTTAAATTTTTAGATAGCCGATTAAAGTGAATTTTAGATTAAAAATAATATCTTCACTTACATCAGTATAAAGATATCATTAATATATATATATATATATATATATATATATATAT